GATATGATTAATATTAGAAAGGAGTGGAAAAAGATAATTCATGTGGCCGACTCTGTTTGCACTGGATATAGGCAAGAAAGAAGTAGTAGTAAGTGCTCGAGCAACTCCAGAATTTCTAAATCATAATAGAGCAATAACCAATCCAAGCCATTCTATTTGGAGTTACTTTAATTTTTCACTTGCCTTCTGTAATACCCCTAATTTAAAAAGGATAGGTTTGGAATTTATTTTATTGTTTAAATTATATTTTTATTTATTTAATTATGAATTGGTTTGTTTTAATTGAAAATTTATTTAAATTTCATTATGAGTTTATTTGGGTTTTATGTTTATACCTTGTTTTAGCTTAATTGTTTTCATGGTTGTGTTTTGATTGCATTTACTTATTTTTTTTTAATTATGATTAAATGCTTTACTTGATTTAATTTAACTGTTTAATTGATTTAATCTAATTTAATAAAATGGTTTGGTTAATTTAATTTAAGTGGTAATTATTTTAATTTAATTGTATTTTTAAATAGGGTTTTGTTTTAAAAGTCAGTTGTTGCCGACGTAGGTTTATTAGGTTTCTTTGGGTCGGTGAGGATTTTTAGGAGGGTTGGAATTAATCTAGGGTTTAGTAAAACCCTATAAATATATGTGAGATGTCGGTATAGGGTTTTAGAAAACAAACAAAACCCTATTCACGCCTCTAGAGATAGAGAAGCAACAGAGTAGTTTTGCAGTGGGAATCGTCGGAAAGCTTTAGAGACGGCGTAGAGATTTTGAACAAAGATCTCAAAGGCAAGTTCTAACCTTACTTTCTCCCTTATACTCATGTTCTTTGCATACTCAATAGTTCTAGGATGAATTACATGTTTAAAAATAAAAAAAAAACGTTATCTGTTTCATGTTTAGAGTTTAACTGAAACTGAATTTGTTTCAAAATTGTTAAATTGGTTAACTTTGAACTTTCTTGTTTAAATTCTTAGTTTAATCCATATTAGTAGCATAATAAGGACTGAATTAAGGGTTGGAATCTTCTGGGATTAAGTTAAACTCTCTGAAAACCTATACTGTGAAGTGTCGGAGGCGTAAACGACGACTGGAGAGGAGAACACGAAGAAGAGGAGGGAGAGAGCCGGCTCCTATTGGATTGGAGCCGGCTCTCCTTGCATGGGAGACGGCTCCAAGGCCGTTGGAGGCGGCTCTAATATTCTGGAGCCGGCTCCAGGTTGTTTTCTACGTGGGTTTTTGGTTCTGTTGTTTGTTTTTCCACTTTTCAGTGATTAAGCTTCATAGTGATTGTTTTCCTATGTTTTAGTGGAGAATGAATACTGTAATGGATGGTTTAGGAGTGGTCCAGAGTAAACATAAATATTCAAAGATCAGATTAACATAGAATTGGACACAAAGCATTAATCATTAGGATTACATGGAGTTAATTATGAATGTCTTGTAGACTTATGTGGATTTGGAGTTTCTAACTTCTAAATTATAGTGGAAAATTTCCTGTGAGAGTTTGTGCACTGCTAATTGCAAATTCTTAGAATATATATACATACAAGAAATTTGTATTTTTGCTAAAGATTAATTGATGATTAAACTAAACATTTAACTCGTCAATTTTGTTGGATAGGAACTTAACAGTATGATAAATTGTCTAGATTTATTATGCATGCCATGGAAATAAATATTATAACATTTGTTTAGGCTCTGTTAATTATGGATACCGGGAATAAACTTATATTTACAGACAAAATCCTGTGGGTGATCAGGTAATGGCTTATTGTTGGATTAATTAAGCATGTTTTTCTAGTATACTTTAATGTGCTTAGTTTGGAACTGTGGGTTTTGACACTGATACTGTTAGTACTTAATCAATGGTTGGATTTGTTAAAACATGATGGTTAATCTATTCTAACATGGTTAGGTTGGAATTATTGGTTTTGGCATTTATAAATTATTTAAATGTGTGGAATAGAGGAATTAATATTGATATTTATGTTTCCAATGTTAATCAATTTGTTGGGACTATTCAAGAACGGTTGTTAATACATTCTGATATGCTTGATATGGACTCGTTGATATTGTTATGTACTTGTATATGCTTTATCAACTATTGGACGGATGGGATTGTATGTACCGGTATGGGACGGTGACATACGAGGTTTGGACAGCATAAGTTGCTAAGTTCTACCTATTTGGAATAAGGGTACGGGTTATTAAATAAATCCTCCTTATATGTATGTAAGTCGGTGCGGTTGACTACGCCGAACGACTTAATGGATTTCTTGTGGATGGATGGAATTGGAGTTTAAATATATTTTTATGGTACCGTGACATGAGCTTGAGTCTCAGAGTCAACGGTTAGGATGCGTATATGCAGTTGGATGTGTAGCTGACTGTGGGGATTGAGGTATACCCTGTTTAGGCTTAGGTACTCATACCCACTCAGGTGCGATTTGTGTGATGCCTTCTATTCAGGTTGAGACCCTCTTCATAGTCTAGCGAGGGTCCAGTAGTGTGGATATATATTTATGTACGGACTATTAGCTATTGTTGAACTATTTAGTATGTACATGCGTATCGGGTCTTTGCTTGGATTGCAGTAGGATAGAACTTGTTCGTGGGCCTGACCCACTCCTATTTTACAGGTGTACGTCAGTTCCAGGCTTGAGCTTGTTCGTGTGAAGCAGAGACGGTCACTCATTCTTCCGACGATATAGGATCTCTTTTCAGATGTTCGACTTGGATTTTATCTTCAGTTTTACTTTGATTCAGTTTGGGATTTTTTATATTAGGGGTCCACAAGAGATGGATTCCCGAGTTGTTAAAAGATTGGAGATTTTGGATTGTAGGATTTTAAGTTATTAATATTTTAAGGTTTTTATATTGAGGATTTCTTTTATAGTTTCCTTCCGCTTATTCTTTTATTTCTTAAATCATTTTTTTTGTAATCTGTGTTCGTTTAAAATACTTTAATTGTTTGGTACTCCTTGGTTCTGTGCTCGGACTTGATCTCCCGTGGCTCTAGAATCGAGGGGTATCACACCTTCCATATTTTGAATCGTGATTAAATCCTTTAGATATGTTAACTAGTTTATTAACGGATTGTGGCTGGAACAACTTTTGTCCACGAAAAGATATATCATCTTCTCTAAATGAGTAATTATATGGTACTAACCCCAAATTTAGTGCTAATAGCTAATAAAGGAGCAACCATAAGGCTGCTATAAGCTTTTTGGTTGGATCGCGAGGCACTCGGCCTATTACAGTTGGTATTAGAGCCAACCCATTTCTTAATCCGGTGTCATTCCAAACGCCTAGCACGACATTGTTTGTTTTTGGCCTTGAAAATTGTTGTATTTTCTCCGGCATAGCATGATCCCGTTCTCCTCATTTCTACTCATTGTTTGGATTCACGGGGTGCTAAAAAGAAATAAAAATAAGATTTTAAGGGTTTTTGAAGAACAAGTACATTTTGATATTAGGCCTACTTGTTAAATTTTCAACTTTGATTTTTTTTTTTTTTTTGGTCCTAAGTAAACTTCACAACAACTCGGGGAGCCAAAGACTTTAATAAGCACTGCGTTTTGGGTACATGCTTTGTTGACTATTGATTTATTTATATTCCAATTGAGCTAGTAGTGCATTGAAAGCTTTCATCTTGACAAAAATGATTAACAAACCTTTTTTATTGAGTAAATACGACTTCAAAACAAATGACCTATCAAATATTATATTGTATTTGTAAGAATATCACTTCCCCCACATTCTTCTTTATGAATTCTACTTGTAAAAACTAACAAGAACTCACAGAAGGTCCTGAAACCGCAACTTCCGTTCCTTAAGCTTTGTCGTCCTTGCTCCTAGATTCCTACATTTGAATGAAAAAGTTTTAAAGTTTTAATTTGGTGCAAATAGGTCCATCTGACAAATTTAAATCCCAATTGGTTGGTCCATTACTACTATCTATATCCAATTCCTTAAAAATATAAAAATAAATATAAAAAAATTAAATTCCTAAACAAATACACATCATCGGCCCCGAGGGGTCCTTGTTACCATCCAGGTAGGTAGAGTGGCCCGACTGCAACGAGGGGACTTGTCCCACGTCGGATCCAGATGGAAAAGTGAATGCGTATATGTGGGTTGGGTGTTAACCCCACCTAATAACTTAAGCTTTTGGGTCGGACCGTGAAGCACCCGTCCCATTACACTGCACATAGGATGGGCTGGATTAAGCCGGGATCACAATTTCATATGCAGTCTACAATACTCTGAGGTGTGGGGCTTCAGGTATTGGGGTTTTGGAATTGGAGGCCAATTCACTATTTCATCCGCAATTCCTTCATTGATGGATCTGATTCTAGTTTGGAAAGCAGGAAATGGTAAGATTCATCTCTAAATTGGCATCAGAATGTTGTGATACACCAGGCTATGGATATAACATTTGAAGGATCACTATGAAGCTTCGGGTACCTCATACAATTTGGATTTTGTTTGACTTGGAATTTTTATTTATTTATCGTAGTTGATTTAAAAGACTTGCCTTTTTTTCATCTCGATACAAAATAATTTGTTCTGGTTTGGGAAATTTTCTTCCAAATTTCCAATTGTTTGTATCTTTAGCTCTTAATTTGTTCTGATCATGCTCTTTTTATTTTGGAAAAATCATGACTTCAGAGACAAAAATAGTGTTTGATTAGCCAAGTTAGAACTTGTTAAGTAAAATTGTGTACTATCACTAGGGCATGTCAACATTTGGGACATTCATATTGCCTCTTAACGTTGGTGTTCAGATTGAGGGATCTATTTCGTAACTACAAAGCCTACTAGCTAGGTTATAATCAAGCCATAAAAGCCTTCAGAATTGTACAAAGAACAAAGGTAATAGCCCAGTTTTTGTAGATATACAAACCAAAAAATTAAAAGTTGATCCCACATAACATCTATAAACCACTAGTTTATGGGGAAGAAAGAGAGACCCCAATACATCAAATAGTAATGGATTATGGTTATAAATACACGACATATTCTTCAACTGCATCAGCTGTGTAAGAGAAGGACTTTTCACTTATCGAGGAGAAGCTATCCGGGCTATTGTACTTAAGTAATGACTGCTCTTGTATCCTTCTCAATTGATCCAGTTCTGCTGCTACTTCTTTCATATTTGGCCTTTTCCTTGCATTCAGTTTTATGCACCTTATAGCAAGAGTAGCAACAGCTTGGATCTCATCTTCCTTGGCATCATTCACTACTACTTTCTCTAGAATTTCAGAAAGACAGTTTTGTTTCATTGCTGATCGGAAATTAAGTACTAGACCTTCATCAAATGTATTAGAACTGATAGCTTTTTTCCCTGTTAGTAGTTCGGCAAGAACTACGCCAAAAGCATAAACATCACTTTTGTCAGTGAGTTGCCCTGATTGAAAATACTCTGGATCCAAGTAACCAAATGTACCCCCCACCATTGTCGTCAAGTGAGTCTTGTCAAGGGGCACTGACCTTGAAAGTCCAAAATCAGAGACTACAGCCCTGTAATTTTCATCCAGCAATATGTTGTTAGACTTAATATCCCTGTGAAAGATAGCTACAGAAGCATACGAGTGCAAGTAAGCAAGTGCTCCTGCAATTTCCCCTGCAATTCTCAATCGAGTATTCCAGGACATCATCGAAGCATGATCCGCATCGTGAAGATGGTGGGAAAGGGTTCCATTTGAGACATATTCATATACTAGTAGTGGAACTTCAGTCTCTAGGCAGCAACCTAACAATTTTACAATGTTCCTATGGTTTATACGAGAAAGGATAATAACTTCATTAATGAAATGACCAACTTGATTTTCATCAACTTTATTTGACTTTTTAACAGCCACTATGCTTCCATCTGATAACATTCCTTTGTAAACTGTACCAAGTCCTCCCTTGCCTATGACTCGACTTTCATTAAAATTGTCAGTTGCCTTCTCCAACTCTTCAGCTATAAAGACTTTTGTTTTCTCAACACTCTCTTTACTCGACGAGACCTGTTGTTGCAATAACAAGCCTCCATTCCTCTTAAAAAACTGCTGTTTTTTTTTGTTTTTCTGTCTCAACTCAAGTTTACGGTATAACCATAAACCAATAGCAATCATGGCCATAAAACCAATAGCAACTCCAAGGCCTGCATATGCAGAAAAGTTTAGCACCATTTCATGGAGATCATAGAGGGGGAAAGGAATCGACAAAGATAAATACCTACGGAAACAGGTACAGCTAATCGGTTCCTCCCATGGCGAGGTATGCAATTAATTCCATTTCCATGAATGCTGTGGAAACCAGGCTGGCAAGTGCACGAGTAACTACCCATGATATTGTTGCAAAGAGCTCCCTCTGGGCATTTGTACTTTTTTGTGTCTTCGCACTCATCAATATCTTGTGTAGACAAGAAGCAAAACGAAAATGTACATGAAAGAAGTTCTTCATATTCGTATATTATGGAACAAATAATATGACAAAAGGGATCTAAAAAATATTAATTTTTGTTTCACATGAAATCAATTTGAAATATGACTCCTCTTACCTGTACAGTTGGAGAGTACTTTGAAGCAGGAAGCGCACTTTTATTAATATTTAATCTAATTTAATTTTTAATTTTTTTATTTTTAGATCAAAAGTAGTTCCCCTGAAATGCTAGGTAAATATAATATTTTGCATAGATAAAGAAAGGTCAGTATTGGCATCCCATTGGCAATATTAGTAGTTGTGATAGAGGTTTATATGGTGATTAATTATTATAATGTGGGCTAATGGCATTACTGTTGTTGGTGCACATATTAATTTCTTCTGAGTGGTGTTAGAAACTCCGTCCTGTCCTATGCCACTACAACACTACCATGGTCAAGCCACCATTGGTGTTTCTCAATGCAAGCACCGATCACCACCTGATGAAGAACCAAGTCTGGCCTGAGAGCTTGAAGTCCATGCGGCCCACACTTATTATTGGAGACATTGGAAAGAAAGAAAGAATTAAGGCTTTTGACTTTTATTCTTATGATTTGATTTTAGGATTTCTATTTATGGTAATAGTTTGATTAGGGTTTTTCTTCAATATATAATGTTGGTTTAGACATTGTGAAAGACAGCTTTTGATGATTATTATTGATATTGAATTTTGAGATTATCGTAATTTCTTCTCCCTCTTTATTCTTCTCTTCTCTCTCATTCTAATTTCTTCCCCTATTATTCTTATTCTATTTCTCTTTGAATCTCTTTCTTATTTACTTGAATTCTGTTTTCAAATCGCCCCGGCCTACTCGCTGTTGCATCACCACCGTCGAAGCTTCCATCTACCATTACTTTTTTCTTCTCATGTCCCTCTACTTCTCCACAATTCTTGCTCCTCCTTGATTTGTATTTATCTTCTTCTTCTTCTTCTTATTTTTTATTTTTATTTTTATAAAACTCTTGCTAGTATTGATAAAAATTAGCAATAAGTTAAATTCTAGCTATATAAATCCATAACAATAAGTTCATATGAATTCCTGGAATTGCTTAATTTTGCTTGTATATATACTAAAAAATAAAACGGTTTATATAGCATTAATTTTTCTTTTCTTTTTTTATAGGTAGCAGTATGGTGTGTGGTTTTGTTGACTGCAACCAAAGAATTAACCATGCAAGAGTGATCAAGAAAGGGCATGTTCTACACGTACCTTGGCATCCATTTTTGAGGTAAGGGTTCCCTTGGTAACCTTGAGAGCAGCGACATCGATATCCATTGCCATCATCAATAATGGATTCAATGCATTCACTGTTGAGGCCACAAGCATAGTCGTCTCTTCTTTGAGCTTCATGGCACGTGACATTCTCAATTGCCCAGTCAAGCACCAGTGGGACCCCAAACAAGAAATCTTCATCATCAGAAGTAATATTGGAGATGTTGAATTTGCTGAATTCTGAGAAACTCTTTTCTGCAAAGAAAGAAATGCTACATGGGTTGGAGTCCCAGAAACTTGCATTCGTATGTATGGTATTGATGCCCAAATCAGAAAAGGTGATATCTTCTGGAATGTCAGTCTGGCAGCAACCATTGCCAGAGCAGGAAGACGAATTGTTATTGTCATTAGCATTTGAAGGACCAACGGCACCGGTGCTTGTGTTATGGCAAACGGATTCACACCCCTTTCTATAGCTTGTAGTGTTTAAATCAGTGATATAAGCAAGTATGTCACATCCTATGGCTACCAACTTATTTTGGGTGCGGGAGACACGGAACGGTAATTGCTCCAACCTATAACTGAAACGTCCAGAATTTTGTCCAGAGGTCTTGTTGTAACAGTTAACAAGAGCTGGACCATCAATTAGCACATAGTCCGTAGAGAACTCTAACACTTGTGTGTCCCAATAGTAGAGAGATGATTCAATGCAAGAGACTTTAAACATCAGGTTCCGGTAACATCCTTCCCCTATGCCAAATGGATATGGAACGGTCAAATTCCCGCATTTCTCTTGGCAGCTGCGCTTCGCCATAGAGGCTGATCTTGCTTCCTCAATTAGTAGGATGACGACGATGATGGATATTAGATGAACAAACTGGAACATTGGTACGGTCATCCTTTTTCTCCCCTTCATGCCTATTTTAATTATGAAGTCAATTCTGCAGATCTTTTGCTAGCTTGTAGAGAACAAATGATTAGCTTGCCCTTGTTCTACCTTAACATTTTTTAAGAAACCAGCCGGCCTGCCTGCATGTGAGAGAGAGATTCCAAAAGGATGAAGACTAATTATCACAGGTGGGCTCTCGGTGAAAACAAGTGGGCTGTCGGTGAAAACAAATGTGCACTGACAATATATACATGTACTTAATTCAATTTTCAGAGGTTAGCTCATAAAGGACTATAATTTATTAAACACAAAGGAAAAGGAAATAGGAAAAGAAAATTGATATTTGAGCTGATGAATTAGTCTTGAAGCCAAAGAGGAAAGCCTGATCCCAAGGCTTGGAATAAGAATGTTATCAGTTACACGTTGTGGAAACTCTTAAGACAATAAATTAATGAGAACTTTTGGAACAACAAATAGAATATCCGCCCAACGTTCTATGTGTGTAGTGTTCCGATCCTTAGGCAGTTTTATGAGTTAATTTGTTTCAACAATTCATTCTTTTTATTCTTTGGTATATATGTTTGAAAGCATTTCTTCTAATTCATCTTCTAATTAATCTGGAATGGTAGCTTCTAATTTATGGTGATAATTCATGATTTAGGTCTTTGAAGAAATGCATAAGTGAAAGACATTCTCAGTAACAATCATTGGAATTGGCCAATTTTATTGTCCAGATCTCCTCAATTATTGTCAGTGATACTACTTTCAAAAGGAAGTCTCTCAAAGTTACTATCTTGAAGCACTCCCTCTCTTTCCGTGTGTATTATCTCTGGCTTGAGAGGAATTGTAGAAAATTTTCAAATGAAATTTAGGATATTATGAACTTGACTGTCACAGGTGTGCCTTGTAGCCCAAGTGGTGGGAAAGCCTCATGGTGTGGTCTGAGTGACGGTGTTCGAGCCACCAATCCCCATTCTTCTCTAACATCTAACCTTTAACCATTGCCCAAAAAAAAAAAAAAAACTGGATTGTAACCTGGATTATGCTGCTTTGGTTCTATTAGTACTATTTTGAATTGTATGTCTGCTTATTGCTATGGAGTTTGCTTTGCTGTTTTGGAAGGAATATTAGGAAATTCAGATCATTCAACTTTTTCTTTAAAGATAATTTGATTACTTTGCTGCACTAGGAATTCATTTATGGTTTTTGCACTGATTTAGACAAACTGATATGCTTTGATCAATCATAGGTTGAAATTAAGGGTGCCTTTAGTTGTATGGAATTGGAATTTGTGGAATTTGAGAAAAATAACTAAGAAAATTGAACCAAAATTTTTTCAAATCCCACCAATTTCAATTCCAATGCTCTAATTCCATGCAGTCTAACACACCCTAAGGCAATGTTCGGTTGTATGGAATTAGAACCTTAAAATTAAAATTGGTGGAAACGAAGAAAAATAATATTAAAAATTGCATTAAAATTTTTATCCAATTCCATCAATTCCAATACTCGGGTTTCAATTCCATACAGCCAAACAAAGTCTAAGTATATGTACCATCTCACAGTGATTATTGAGAGCAATTGCATGTGCGTTGTCATTGTTAGTTTACAAGTTTACCTACCACTTAGGTTTCTTGTATACTACGAATTACCATATATGATTACCCACCATATTAGTATCTATAGGTTACTTATTCATCACTCACCTCTCTCCAAACCTTTACTAATATATACTACCTATATGTAATCTTAATTGACATCAATACACTATAATATTTTCTCTCCCTTTATTTCTAACATGGTATTAGAGTCTTTCGATTTCTAATAAATAATCTACCAGTTTATTGTAATTACCGTCAGGGATGGCACCACCAGCCACATTATCGGCGGCGATCCACCTTCAAACTTATGCTTCTGTATTCCAACCTTCAGTGTCAAGTCCATAATCAGCAAAATCCTTATTTGGCTGCCCAATCAAACTTTAAGATATATCAGCAGCGGTGCCAGCAATAGTGCTTCACTTGCCACGAAAGTTGCTATGTCAGACATAGCTAGCAGCGGTGCCACGTCACCTACCACGTCTGTTGCCATGTCAGACATAGTCAGTAGCGGTGTCACGTCACCTGCCACTTCAGTTGCCATGTCAAATACAGTCAGCAGCTGTAACGACCCAAACCCATGGGTCCAAACCGTTAACCGGGTCTTTACCCGAACCCGATGGTCAACTAGGTCATACCGCCAATTTCTTGTGTCCCTATCTGTCATACAAGTCAATCCAGGTCCCCAAAACATTTCAAGATACAATCTTACAGTGAGGGTTAGATGATGCAAGTCAAAACGGGAAGATCAGCTGGCTGATGGCCTGTGATCGGCAGGCTGACAGTGCAAGATCGGCCGACCGACCTACATGGTCGGTCGGCTGAAACGGTTCCAAAATCTACATGCTCTCGGGACTTTTACTGTAGCCGTGTCAGTCGGCTGGTAAAGAGGTTCAGTCGGCCAAACCTGGGGTTTCGGTCGGCTGATGGTAAGGGTCAGCCGGCCGAAACATGACTTCTCGGGATTCAACTCACTGGAATGAGTTCTGGTTGTGCTTCATGCATACTCAACCTATGTCGGACCTGTTATGCAGTTGAATTTCGAATTCGCGGCAACAAAATATGGTATTATACATTTGAAAGGCAACAACAATAAATCAAATTATAACTTTCTTTCCCACTCGTCACAAATATTTACATTTACCCCAATTCCTTTCAAAATACCAACAAGAGTTATGGTTTACAATACATGACCATGGCTTGCAAAATAAATACACTACACTCTGGTTTGAAATGTTACAAAAGTGTGAATAAATATACAAAAGGTGGCAAAATTAGATTCTTAGTCATCCTTAAGCTTGTGAAGGGTCTGTTTCAACTACTTCTTTCCAGGTCCTGAAAAATATTAAATGATAGGGTGAGCATAAAGCTCAGTAAGTGGTGCCTAAGACACACTTCTTATGACCTCATGAGTCCACATAAGAAATAGGTAAGAGAGAAAATGGGATCATGACATAGAGAAATACATGGCAACAACTACAAAAACAAGTATAAAACAATTGACGTCCAAACACATACATACCACGTAGTCTAATGAAGTGCAATGTCATGCAAATGTCGCTCCCCATATCCGAAACATTTCCGTTTCAACTTCCAAAACCGTTAGTGTAACCCGACCCAAGGTACCTCCAAGGCATCACGAATGGAGGGTTAACTAACTATCCATGACCACAAGGCACCTCCAAGGCGTCACATTCAGCCTAGTTAGCTCGACCATACTCCCTTCTAGACTACACTAACAACATGGACCAGTAGGCGCGTCCTAGGCGTCCGGTTTTCGCAAATCCATTTCAAAATCATTTCCTAAAGAAAACAAGTTCCCATTTTTACTCTTTAAAACATTTTCCCCTTTCTTTCCTAAAGGAATGCATGAATGCATCATATCTAATACAATCATAAAAGTGTATATAATTTCCATACTATACAAATCAACTACCACATACAACAAGCCTTAGAGGAAATCTCTACAAAATAAACAACATGCTTCCATATTGTAAAATCTAGAAATTTACACATGATAGGCAAATAATACAACCATTTAAGCATGTTATTCCTTATTACATCAACTCACATATAGAGACATGCTTCATTTACAACAATTAAGTCATTTAAAACGGAATCAACACAAATGATCATATTAGACAACAAATTCATGAAGAGAAATTCACATAAAGCCTAAGAAGTTATGAATTAGAAACCCCTACTTCCAATTTGAATAAAATCCCCAAATCACCTCAAACCCTAGAATTTTGAGATCCCCCAAATGGTGATTAAATGGAGATTGGCTCCGACCAAAACGTAGATTTCTTCAAGCTCTTTAACGTGCCGCAAATGGCATCAAAAATCTCCAAGAATTGAAGAAATAATCAACATTTGAAGCTTGACAAAAAAAGAAAAGAAAAAATGAAGGAAGGAGGGTGAGAGAGATAGAGTGCCAAGAGGGAGAGAGGAAAAGTGAGAGGCCAAAATGGCCTCTTGATCTCTTAAGGTGGTGGTAGGTCCCACCACCAAAAATTTAATTTCTTTTTGATTTAATTTTATTTCCTTTTTACACCACACACAAACATATATACACAAACCCTATAAAACCCACATAAAATACATCAACAAAATGCATGTGATGCCAATGGACCCAATTAAAATTCCAGTACCCGACAATTTCGGTAGCAAGTCCCACACGGGACCGTCCGGCCCAAAAAATAAAAAAATGCAAAAATAACAAACATTGCATTTCAAAGAGTCCTAAACTCAATGAAATGCCCCAACTAACTCTCGAACACTACCAGCACCCTCCACAATGTTCGGCACGTAAAACAATAAAAGACGAAAATGCCCTTGCAACTACAAAATTCCCGGAAAAAAGAAAAATGGTGAAAAATGGAAACATCACAACAGAGGTGCCACGTAACCTACCATGTCAGGCACAGTCAGCAGTGGTGCCATATCAGTTGTTAATCGTGCCTCCATCTTCATCATGGGTGAAAATCGATCTCCACCAAAATTTCCATCAACTTTCATGATCTTGCCTTCAATCTCAAGTTGGGTTTTCATACTCACCTTGAGTTTGAGGGAGGTTGTTAGTTTACAAGTTTACCCATTTACCTACCATCTAGGTTTCTTGTATACTACAAATTACGATATATTGCGTAAAGGATCAAGAATGTTTCTGAATGAAGATGAGATGGTGGGTATAATGGAAAAGCTAGGGTTTTACGTTATCGTGGTGACCCCAAATAGGATGGAAAATTTAGAAAAGTTTTCCAGTGTTGTGAACTTTTGTAGTGTGATGGTTAGTGCACATGGTGCTGGCCTTGCAAATAAAGTGTTCTTGCCTACCGGGGCAGTGATGGTATAGGTGGTGCCATTGGGGCTAGAGTGGGCCTCAAATGCCTATTTTGG